TGTTAATATTATTATTATTATCATTATTATTATCATTATCAACCTCATTATTATCTTCACCATCATCATTATCATTACAATTCTTATTATCATCCTTATTATAGTCATTATTGTTATTATGATGACTATTATTATTTTCATTATCATTATTGTCACTGTTATTACCATTATCATCATTATTATAAATAATAATCATTTCCATTATCATTGATTATCATGATTATGGGTATTATTATCATTATTAGTAATACTATTTTTATTATTGTTGTTAGTATCATCATTTTTGTTATTTCTATCATTATTACTTTTGTTATTATCATTATGATTTCCGTTATTACTATCATGGTTATTTTTGTTCATGGTGTTATTGTTATTATTGCAATTATCATTACAATCATCATTATCATTATTTCATTATCATTATTATTATTATGTTCATTGTCATGATTGTTGTTGTTACTATTATTACTTCTATTATAATAATTATCATTATTATTGTTATTATTGTTATCATTGTTATTATTATTATCATCATTAGCTTTATCATTATTGTTGTTATCATTATTATTTTTTTATCATTATCACTATTATTATTATTGTTGTTGTTGTTATTATTATCATAATTTTATCATTACCTTTATTATCATTACTATCACTGTTACTGTTATCACCACTGTACCATCATTATCCCCATCACTTTATTATCATTGTTATCATTATTATGATCATTATTGAAACGATTATCACTATTGATATTAGTATCGGCCAGAAAGTGAATACTAATATGTAGAAAGATCATATGTTATCCACGAACAAGCATCATTATTACTTTTATAATTTCATTCGGGTATTTGTTTATTAAGATAAGATAGAGCATGATATGAAACGTAAGCACAATTTTTATAGTCACCACGAATATAAAAACCATAAGAATTAGCCCTATTCATGTCGACAAATGTAGAAAAGATATGAAGGAGAATGAATATCTTCGTAATACAAGAGATGTATTTAACCGTTTTCGAAGATATATTCGAAACCGGTTAAATACATCTCATGCATTGCGAAGATATTCATTCTCATTCATACCTGTTTTACAAAATCCTAAGAAAATAATGCATTCCCGAGCATTTGGATAAACAGCGGTCCAGGAGACTGAAGTAAATCAATGGGACATATTATACAAGGGAGTTCCTTATCAAATATTATACGAAGACACCACGAACATAAGAAGACAGTGCATTCCCAAGTATATGAATAAACTGCGGTCAAGGAGACGGAAGTAAATAAATTATTAAATGGGTTACCTATTGAATACTACACGGAGATACCACAAGCATGTAACATAAGACATTGTATTTCCAAGCATTTGAATCAACTGTGGCCAAGGAGACTGAAGTAAACCAATGGAACTATTTGCAAAAGGAAGTTACCCAAACGAATACCGTCATAGCAAACAGTACGAAGATACCACCATCATAAAACCATGACAGCGCATTTCCAAGCATTGAATAAACTGTGGCTAAGGAGACTGCATTAACTAGACGGGACTATTTGTAAAAGGGAGTTACTCAAAGAATGCTGTTATACTAAGGCATCAGCTTTTGGAGTGGATAAAAAAGTATTGAATAACTGACCGGAACTTTGAGATCATTGTATCCAATAGCTAAGGCCCAGTAGAAATAGTGAAATTGATTCGAACATTTATGTTAAGCTTTCGAAGCAGTGACCGGGAGGGTTGTTGCACATTTTTTTTTTTTTTTAGTTTTGTCCCTGTTCTTATAAGATGAGCTCCCTGATGCAATGCTTTACAGGAAAAGTTTATCGGTATTTTAAATGAGGTAATAATGCAATCACAGGACTTTGGCATTGCTTAAAGAAACATTTTTCGACTAGGGAATTTATGCAGCTTTCGTTTCGCTTTTGTTGAACGGGCTTGTGGTTTAAGAGAGTAAGCCACCAAAGCCGTTTGATGCGCGCATTTATTGCACGACATACCATACTGAAGACATAGAGTGTATTTATTACCGGTAGCATTATGATTACGTGCAAAAAAATCCTGCTCTGGAATGGAAATAAATGGAAACTTGTTCTGCAGACAAAATCAGTGGAACGCGTAAAATAGGAGAGGCGCCATCAGTCAACAGAAGGATAGAATAGGCCTCCTAATACTTGACAAGCTCCAAGGAAACTGATTGTCTCTTAGAGTTCATTTTCCCTTTGAATCTTTAAGTCTTGTCAAGCTGTGTCATGAGCAAGGCCCTATCACACTAGCACTTTTTCCGTCTAGTTCTGGGGTTCCGTCTGAAATTGAGGCTTTCCACAAGGATCGTCTACAAACGGAACGCCTCCCAGACCAAGACGGTTACGACCGTTTCCGTCTGACTAATTTCCGTGTTGATCTTGTGCCATTAATAAATTAGATAGGATGATTGAATGTAAACATAGGCTAATATTTTAAAACATTCGTATACACTATATACATCATCTTATTTCTTTAACATAATGTAATATGTATGAGAATGTCCGTGTGATTCCCGGGACCTCACTTCGATAGCGCCATGTTTATTTACATGATTTTCATACGGAGTTCATTCGGAAACGCCAAAAATTTGACGGAAAAGTGCTAGTGTGATAGGGCCTTGAATCAGATTCAGAACCATGACAATTTACAGTATTAACATTTCGAATATCATAGGTGTTGATTTTAGTTCCTTTGTCATACATTGCCCCTGTGTGAGAAATTATTTTCAAGTCGAATCGTTATTCTATTTTCACCAACGGGAAAAACAGCTTTGTGAGTCTTTGTTGATAGCAAGATTTGTTTTAGCACGATACGGCCCGAACCAGTTATATATATATATATATATATATATATATATATATATATATATATATATATATATATATATATATGTGTGTGTGTGTGTGTGTGTGTGTGTGTGTGTGTGTGTGTGTGTGTGTGTATGTAAAAATAAAACTACAAGATAATGGAATACCGAAGTGGATGTAGTGTTCTGTGTAACGAGATTGTGCTAGTCATCCTAGAATTGAAATTTAGGAATGGATAACCCAGATATCCAGCCATATTTGCAAGGGAAAGGCTAGATCAGTAGCAACTCGAGGTGTCATGGAAAAAGCACATGGGGTTTATTTTGATGTCACAAAAGTTATGGATGCTTTGTGAATATGGTCGATCATGTTGGTCTCTTTTATTTAAGAAAAAGGAAAATAATGATCATAATTGTTATATTTTTGGTTGAACAGTCATCAAAACAGACGCCATGACACCTCCTCGAGTTGCTACTGCTCTAGCCCATATTTGCAAGTTACTCTGATCTCACTTACCAGAGATTAAAGGGCCAACCAATGGGGACTAATATCCTGATTGGCTTAAACTTCCCAGAGGCATTTCAGCCGAAAGAAATGAATACTGGAAGAAATAGAGACTTTTAAATGCTCGTGAAATTTTCTCTTTGGGAATCCTGGTAAGGGAGGTAGAACGAGAATTAAGTAGGAATTTCCTTTCCAGACTCAGAAAGATATTCTAACAACAAATACAAGACGCTTTTGAAATGCACTATCTGTTAAAGAAATTGCTTGGCGAATTTACTATATGGGATGCCTAGTGAAGGAGGGAGAAGGAGAATTATGAATTTCCTTTCCAGAATAAGGACGACAACAATAAAGCCAAGTGTTGTGGATCAGTCAACAGGTGATCAACAGGTAACCGAGATATACTGTTACACCGTAGAAAAAAAATCAATTGGGTGACTCAAGGGAAATATATATATATATCTTCTAGAGGTTTTCTAATAATTAGCCAATAAAATTGACAAATATCTTTAATTCCTTTGCACATAAACAAACAAGGTTGCTCGTTTTGTCAGTGAAATAGAGGCTTAGGTATACGTTCCGAATCAGTAGCAACACCGGAAACGAATGCTACTGTTTCGAATAAAAGATAATAGCAATGATCAATCATTTGCATTTGGTTATATGCACGGCACTGTGAGAAGAGAGAGAGAAAAAAAAATACATACATGCATATATATATATATATATATATATATATATATATATATATATATATATATATATATATATACATGTGTGTGTGTGGGTGTGTGTATGTATGTATCTATGTATGTATATATGTACATATGAATAAATATAATATATATATACATATATATATATATTACATTAACATATATTCTATAGAAATGCATGTATACATATTTGTGTGTATATATCTCAAATTTTATTAGCTGTAGTTTATGCAAGGCGGGGAAAATTATTGTTTCCCTGGCGTATTTCGCACAGCACGGTCGTTTTAAAGTCTTACCTTCGGGAAAGAACAACAGATACGGAAATATTTCCATCAGTAAAATAATCCTGTACAATTACGAGTAGCGAGAGACTAATCAATATTTCCAGCCCCTCCCCCTCCCTGACACTCCATCTACAGCAAGTTAAACCCCCCCCCCCCTTCCACCGCGTTTCCAAAAAAATAACATAAATAAATATGACAATGATAAAGATAGCATCTTTATGAGTATATGTATATTCGACATACCACGTGATGTCATAGATTTCAAACATGCTAAGCATATAAATTACTAGCTTATAACGCGTAAACAAAATTGTGTTGCCGGCTTCGCGCAACACTTTTGAGTTGCTGAGGAAGCGGCAACATGGCGGCGACGCTGAGTTGCCTAGTATCGGTTTAGGGAATTTGATTTATATATATCTTTACCTTATGTTATTGTGAGTGTTTTTTGTGAAGAAAGTTAGATTTGTTCGAAATTTATTCGCACCATGGACAAGGTTATTAAGAGTATCTTAATATTATAACTTATATTTATATTTTTTTCGAGCATCGCCTCAAATAAAAGAATACACAAGCATATACTCATAGGCAAAATTATAAGATCTAATCTATTATAATTTCTCCAGGGCTCCCATGTAATCAAAGACAAGGTAGTAACAAAGAACGATCAGCGAAAAGGAGACAAGACACTGAAATAAAAGAATGAACAGGCAAGCGAGAATTGGAACTTCTGCGCAGCGCATCAACGGAGCGTCTCGGACTCTTCCAACGTGGCGACTTTCTTCCTTTATTTTGCGACGCTGAAGGTATTTTCCGAGTCATTTCCTGCACTATTCGGTCGAGGGAGAGAAGGGGGAAGGTGGAAGGAGGGAGAAATGGCCGCGACTCTTGGGCCAGGTGTAGGAACTTGCGAATAAATGGGAGACTGAGAGAGTGAGACAAGCCGCGCCTTGGTTCTCACACTCTCATGCATTTTCATCAATTTTATCAATTATTTCTCCTATTCACTTCGTTATTTCGCTCGATTTTTGCGTCTTTGGTAGCTTTGGCCTGTACCCTCTCATTTTCTCTTCTTTTCCAAACATTCTTTATCTTGGAAATTATCCGATTTGTTATTATAGAATGATGAATGTATAGAGAATGAAGAGAAATATGGGAGACAAAGGAAGCGTGAAGAGGCGAGAGGGAGAGAGAGGGAAGGAGAAAAGAGAAAGAGAGAGATGGATAAAGGAGAAGAAATAGCGAGCGAGAGCGGGAAAGAGATTTATGTAGAGAAAATAGAAATAGATAGACTGCCAAAGTTGATTAAGAGGACGAATTGCATGAGATAGAGAAATTGAAAGAGGAAGAGAGGTAGACCGACACAGAGGGCGGGAGGAAGAGAAAGCAAAGAAAGAAAAGATTTATGGAATCACAGATGTAATATAGAAATGAAAGAAAGAACAATATTGGGTATTTCACTTTTTGCTCTTTTTCTTTGGTTTTTAAATTTTAACCATTTGCTTTTTTCTACAATGATAATAATAGTGATATTATTATTATTCTCTTTTAATAATTTTCTCTCATCATTATTACCGTGATTGTCATTTTCATTGTTATATTTTTTGCTATTATTGAATTTATTGTTATTGTTATTGTTATAAGGATGATGATTTTTATTATTGTTATTATTATTATTATTATTGCTATCATCTTCATCATCATAATTGTTATTGTTATTGTTATTATAGTTGATATTACTATTATGATGGTTATTATTATTATTATTGTTGATGTTCTTATACCTTTTTATTTTTATTTTTATTATTATTGTTATTATTAATCTTATTTTCATTTTTGTTATTGTATTGTTATCATTGTTTAGGTTATTATTATTATTTTTGTAATTGTTATAATTTTTCAGTTATTATTATTGTTTTTATTGTTGTTATTATTATTGTTATTAATATTATTATTATTATTATTATTATTATTATTATTATTATTATGAATTATTATTTATTATTATTATTATATTATTATTATTATTATTATTTATTATTTTATTATTATATTATTGTTATGTTATTGTTATAGTTTTATAGTTATATTTGTTACTATATTATTATAATTATTGTGTTATTGTTATTGGCAGCATTATTACTAATAGTAGTATTGATATTAACATTGCCATTTATTATCTATATTTATAATGATGACATGTTATAATGGTTATTTAAATAGTTGTGGCCTTAGGACCCATATTTCTTTAAGATATTTGCCTCAGTATTAATGATGTTGGTAATGATGAGCTGTTTATCATGTATACAGTCCAATTATAGTTGATTATGTATATTCTGATCAGCCATAGCAATGGTAGTGCCCACAATGGCAAGGCAGTGCATAGATACGCCAACAAAGTAAAACAGTTATAAAATTACTGGTGTCATGCAAACAGTAAATTGTATTTCCCCCCCCCCCCCTACACACAGACAATGTAAGGGGGTTTTATAATGACAGTACATTATGACAGTGTGGCATTGCCTGTGGCTCTTTAGGCAAGGCAAGCAGAGTACATTTTGGAAAGTTTGAATTTGGACTCACAATATATTTCCTGGTAAATTGTAATGAAAGTCATAGGCATAGAAGCAACAGTGATTACCTTGTCTTATGACACTCTAATTACCACTAATATATTATTACTACGAGTTAGCCTACAGTTACTAGATCTCTTAGAAATGTGCAGACAGAATAAACAATGACCATATTATTGTTATTTTAATACTGTGACAAAGTCTTAGTTTCAGTCAGCCACAGAGAGCAAGATACTTGTTTACACAGATATTTTGGACATAATTAGATGTATCAGGTGTTCTTTTCTATCATAAATAATGAGTATCTATGATAGTACCCTCCTGACCTCCCTACCCAGCTTCCTTAGGAAAACGTATGGGGAAAAGTTGATCATGAGAAGGAGGGATAGGAATAATTTGATTTGATATCTGTGTAATGTAGATAAGCTGTATCACAACCACTGGAGTCCTGTTTAGCATACTGTTACCTTTTGCAATAAATTGATATCATTACTATCATATAATTATGATCATCACCATCATCATCTATATTACTGTTGTTAGTACTATTGCAGTTCTGCTTATTTTTATTTTTATTATTATTATTCATTATTTTAT